GACATTATTTAAAAATAACTGCCTGCTGTGTAGACGCGGACTATGTTATTTTGAAATAACGCTAGTTATTTCAAAATAATGTTACCGTGTAGATGAACCTGATGCAAAGCACTCTGTCACTCCTCTCCATGAAATGCATCACAGCCCTGGACTCATATAAAATGAAGAACCTGGCTGATTTTCATGCTTATTGGGTTGGCCCACTTCGTAATCGAGACTCTGAACGTCTGAAACCTCAGTTAAGCTGAGATGGCAATATTTACAGAGCTGTCCTTTTAATAATGCATATTTCAAATTTAAATCTGTAACATGGTTGTGGCTCAAGACCACAACTATTCTTTGTAATGAAATTAAAGCAGACTTGAAAATAAGAACAGATGAAGAGAGAAGAATGAAAGATGCCGAAGATGCAGAAGAACTGAAAACAAGAAAAAGTAAATAAAATTTGATTTGATGTCATCAAGAATTAATAAAACATAATAAGTAACTAGATGGAAATATTTTGAAGAAATGCTAGAAAAAGATGAAATAGATAGTGACGTTGGCAAAAATTGTTCTTTTTAAAGACTTTGACAACAAAATCTATTTTATTTTATTTAAAAAGATCTATGATATGATTCTTAAAAACAACTTACATCTATGATACTTTTATGCCCTCCATTGCTGAAGTATCTCAGTGCATCACAATATTTAATGAACTTCTCTTCAAACACCTCTTCAAATACCTCTGTGAGGCAGGGGAGTTATTACCCTCCTTTTACAGTTATGGAGCAGATGCACAGAGAGACAGATTTTGATTCTTAGCTGCCAAATTAGTAGCCCAAATTTGAAACTTACATCTTCAAAACCTAGACTCAGTTCTGCCTAAATTCCCTAGGTGACTACATTTCTGCCAGTGGGCATGCACACAGCCATCTAAGACCTGGCATTATTGAGCTGCTTGGTACATAAGCCTGGCTGAATTCACTAACCTACAGAAGAATCTCATGTGATACAAATGGCCAGAGCATGCCTAACCAACACAAAGCAAAGAGGCTGTGGTATTATCTTCTGTCACAGGACCCAAAACTATCACTCAGGATGTGGGAGCTTTAGGTTGAAATCCTCCCTCTGCCTAATCGGAGGAGGACTGTTTGAACCCACATTTTCTAGTTTTCATTGGGTGGGATATAGAATGTGTTTCTCAGTCTCTCCTGTGGAAGCTTTTCCATGTAGGAAATATTTAAAAGATAGTTTGTGCAGAGACTGGAATCTGAGTCTTTCAGGTGAGTGCCCCTAACCACTGGGTTATTGATTCTTTCCCTCCTTTTGGCCTGTAGAACTTGCTCTGAGGTGTACCAAGCTTTAAGTTAGTGGACTAATCACTGGACCATCCTCCCCATATAGACACTGATTGGACTACATAGCTATATTGGACTACATACACTTTGCCACATTAATGCCTATGCAGCTTTCTTGCTCTCATAAAGATCTGCATATTGTATTGGTCACCTGAAATGATCTCAGGCAGTGGGCTTGGTAACCAATATTTCTAAATTTGAACTCATTCTTTTGGGTAATACAAGGAAGGTGAATCTTTATACCACATGATAAAATGCAAAGGACAAACTACACTTTTCCATGTCCTCTTCCTTTTACTTTTACACTAAAAATCTGTGTGCAGCTAGCAAATAACCCTTTTGCACTGTCAGAACACAATGGCAGAAGGCAATACAAATCAGATCCAGTGACTGAGGTGGTTAAACATTCAAACTTTGGAACAAATTCTGTCATCCCTGCTCATCTTAAACAGCATTTTTCTTTGCATGCAATCCTATTGAAATCTATGGGGCTACTTGTGGATTACGGTGTTACTAATGTAAATACGGCAGATCCTCACCTTACATTAGCATTATTGTGCTCCCTCACAGCTATATGTGTGTACCCACAGTGACATGCTTGTGATGAGTAGGTGGAGTTCCAGAAAAATGTGTGTGTCTAATGCCCACAACCTGAAAATGTAGAGTATTCATTGGCTAGAGGCTGTGAGATCTTTTGATCCTTAGGGTTCGTAAATCCTCAAGGTAAGCAAAACTGTATGATTCTATATTTTCCCTGAATTAAATTTTAATATTATGGCCATATTTAAGTTTATTTATAAGGGGAATGGAATGTTGAGAGATAATTCAAGCAATCTGATTGACTAATACACAGTGTGGTAATTTTCTGAAGCGATGTACATACCAACTGAAGCCAAATGAAATGATATAATCCAGGAAAAAATATCCATAGGCTTACTGTGTAAGTTACTTTTCATTTAATGCTTAAAATAGCATTAGCATAAGGATAGCATGAAAGTTCTGGGAATTAACTTCTCCTAGCTAGAAGGCCAAATCCTCAGGAAATGCCCTGCTTCTTGATTATTCTCAGCTATTACTAATAGCAGGTTTTTAGACTACTTCATCTTCCTCACCAAATACATGGTGCTCAGTGTACAACCCAATGTATGATGGATGGGGTAGACCTAAATTACCTTTTATCCTTTAATCCTAGGATTGTTTTGTTCTCTATTTAACTTAGTAAGGGCCATGAGTGGTTGCTTTGCTGGCAATATCCCCTGACAGAGATTAGACATCTATAACTTACAACTGGAGTTCATATGTACACCATTCAAGGGACTCGTCTGCAACAGAGCCATCCCACAATACCCACTTAAAGCAGTTTGCTATCTGCTATACTAAGCAATGAAACTAGCCAGGAATGGTCAGTGTCATGTCATTCTCATCAAAGTGAATGAGAGTTTTGGAATGGATTTCAATCGTATCATGAATGGGCTTCTATATTCTGAAATAGATGACTGAAAAAACTTCATCCATACCACTTCCCCACCTGACTCTAAGTCTAAAAACAATACAAATGTTCCATGCAGGTTGTTCTGTGAATTGTTAAAGTGATTTCTAGCTAATCAAAAGCAAATTGTTCAGAGTCTAGAGGGACAGGTATTATGGATGTAGGGGTGAGATATAGAGATGTGATAGATTACATTAGATGGATGGATTAGCTAGAAATCACTCGGAGGTATAACAATGGAAGCAACAAGGACCAACAAAATGATGCTTTTATCAGACTGCAAATATTTTATCCTCAGAAATAAACAGTCTTAAAACCCTTTCAAAATGTCTGTTAATTAGTCTATCAATGTGTATAACAGCTTCAGAATTATAATAAGAATTAATAATAGTTAAATGAGCAGAAATACTATTTTTTCATACATTAATATTAATGTACCACTAGGGTGTATGTCCCTCCCCACAACAAGCTTTCAAATGCTAATTCACAAGTTTACTGTTAGTTACGTGTTATTTTCAAAATGAGCCTCCAGAATATTTTGCATGTGAAGGCTAACACAGGGGGTAAGAACATAAATTAATGTAAAGGATAAGATCATGGAATCAAGATAATGTGCTCCAAAATATGTTTTTCTTCTAGCTCAGCTGAAGCATTAATACAAAGTGCAAAAGTTTAGATTTGCTGTCAATACATCAGGAAGAGAAAGAGATTCATGGCAGAGAATATGGATCAAACACTTAGAATAAAGTACATGGGATGTGGAGCAAAATGCACCTATTATATCCTCTTGAAGCACCAAAGATCCAACATTTCAAGAGGACATAGCAGGTAGATGGCACATGACTTGAGTGCATGCTGGAACATCAGTACTCCAAAGAAACATCTCTTCATTACAATGTGGCACTGAAGTCAAAACTGAACACAGTATGGAAATGGATATATTTTTCCTCTTTATTTTTTTCCTCTTTGAGCATTACAGAGATTATGAGATATGGCTCAAGCCCCAGAAGACAATCTTTAGGCCTATTTTTTTCTTGCACTGTGAAAGAAGATGAAGGGGGGCCATGGACTAAGCCTCCAAAAGTGAAATTTTTTACATGATGTCTTTCCTTTGCATTGTGTATTTAACTACAGGATATCTTTAAGTAGCTGAGAGGGGAAGAGAAGGATCTTGAGAGATTTATTCAACTTCATTATATCTGATGCTAGTCATGAAGAGCTTTAGTTGAACCTAAACACTCTTATGAACATAAAATCAAATTAAACAGCACATTAAGGTTTCCATATTCTCTGACTGATATGCGCGCGCGCACAACTCTCATTAACGATAATGGCAGTTATGCGTGAGCGTCATTCAGAGAACAGATCCCTAAGTGCTGTATTGTTTTTCCTGGAGATTCTTTTTATTGGGTTTTATTTAAACTCCTGTTAGGTTGCAAGCTTTTTTTAAAAGGGAAGAAAAGAGAGAGAGAAAAAGCCCAAACTCAGATTGTTTGGCAGGCAATGTTTTCCCCAAGCTGTTAGAGTCTATAAAGTTAACCTTAAGATATTAAATTTAGAGATGTGTTGGTAGCATGCAACCCCTAGCTATATGTACCAGAAGTTGCTTTGTGGTTTGAAAGTACTGGTTCTGCTTGCAGTAATTTTTTAAAACAAAATTAATAATAGGTACGAAAAAGAAAATATCTTTAATATCATTGCATTATATGCATGGTTATTGTAAGATATATTTTGTAAGCATACATAACCTGTGATATGCGTCACATTCTGGATACATACTGCTGAACTTTCCCCTCAAAATGCAAGTAGGTGTTCTTGTAATTCACAAATATTAGTCCTGCATTAAATACTGTGGTTGGAAGTACATAATTTATCAGCCTAGAATGCCTCCAGTGAAATGAGACAAAATATGAGCATTTTTCTTTTTTCCTAAATCTCTCTTATCTACCTAAGATAAATTGCATATTTAAAATCTGTACATAGCCAATACAGTAATTTTTCCAGTTAGATAATAAAATGTTGTAGTAGATAAAAGAAAATCAAGACCAATAAAAAGACAGGATCAGGGTTAGTGGATGGTAAAACACATCAGAGATGCCTCTGTTTTTTTGGTTGATTATTTTTAACTTATAGGCTATTTCACTAGCTGCTACTGTATGTGATGTACTTACTTATTGCCTCCAAAAACTGTTCAAAGAAGCAGTATGGGAACAGTGGCTCAGGCAGCTCTCTGAAAAACATCTTGAGTGCTCCGGTGACAACGTGGATGTCCTCCCACTGGCTGTCGTCCAAATTCAGCTTCTCTTCTGGGAAAACACGAGGAGAAATGGAACAACTGGTTTTAATGAAACAATTACAAGACACTAATTATTATGTTAATGTTTGCCTACTATCATCAGCAACCGTTAACAGCCTTCTGCACCTAGAGGTTTGGTGCTGTGCGTGTGTGTGTGTATGGGAGGGGGATTGGTAGGAAGAGCACATTTTGAATGGAATACCATCTGTAGGAATGCAGCTGACAAAAAAACAAGAGACACAAAGAGACAGTACCATTGACACAGTATGTCAGATACATTTATTCCCATAATGCTTCAGTATGAAAATTAGCATCACAGCTCAACATGATTCAAAGCTATTTGGTTTTGAGGCCGAGGGGCTAAGAGTTGCCAATGATGGCCGGCTCAAGGGACCGGCCTAAAGGCCTTACTGAGCCAACAGGAGACATATGCTAAACATGGCAATAGAAAATGAGTTATTGCTTTACATGTGTTAGCCTTGCTATGTACAAGGGAATAATGGGTAACACTTTTCTCCGTTTTTGCCTGAATGCAATGTCAGCAAGGAATAGAGTACTGTGAGAGAAAGGATATTAATTCCTTCTTACTGCTTTAAAAATATTTTGTTTGGTTTTCATCTCTGGGAGGAAGATTTGCCCAGCAACAATATTAGACAGACCCCTGTTGGCCTACCTAGGCTATGCAAAGCTGTCAAAAATGATAACACACTAAAGGCAAACCACAAGTGCTTACAAAACTGTTTTTGCAAACAACAAAAATGTTTTCTTTTGAAGCTTGACTGAGCTGAGACATTTCAATATAAAAGAAACTAAATGCTAAAATAAAGTTTCTAATAAACAAAGCAAAGTGTGATTATTATTCTATTTTTCTCTTGTTATAGAAGTTTGGTGTTATTAGAACACAATAAATAACTGAATCATAATTCATATAAAACTCTGTGAAAGTGTAAATCCCCCTTATAATTAAAAGGATATGTACAAGTTCTGCTACTCCAAAAATGTATTTGGCTTTTAAAATGTATGATGTGACTTTTTAAACTTTTAGACAAGTTTTAGCCAGCATGCAAATCTAGAGACAACCATGAAAACTACAGACAAAATCAGCACATCCCTGGCAATCTATACCAAAGCTCACTGAAATTGGGTGTTTAGCAGTTCAGCTGGACTCAAGTTCATCCTGTTTACCTAACTTTGTACATAATTTTTATCATTCCATTCTTTGAACAAAATAATAGAAAAACCTGTTTGCCATTAAGTTCTTCTAATGGGTTTTTGTCTACAGAGAATTTGCTTTTGACAAATTCAAGTTCGATTTCAGGATGCACGTTTCTTTGTCTTTTTTTCTCTATAAATGTGAATAAATGTTAATGAAATATTGGTCTCTGAAGGTGTCTGCAAATAAATTAATGCACCCATGCCTCAAATTTATAGCAATTCTTTGAAACAATGAATTTGTGACTATCACGTGTTTTTTCCCCATTCCTTTTCCTCTCTTCCTTTTTTTAGAAAAAATCCAGTCTTACCTCAATCATAAAAATAATGACTTGATCTGAAATGAATTAGCAGAAGGGACCTTGTTTAGACCACAAGATCATATTTGATTGACTGTATTTCAACAATTAGCCTTTTATTTTGCTAGACACTATTGAAATAGATCGACAGCATCTTAGCAGGCCAGCTTTAAACAGTCAGCTGTTCACAATAGCATCAAAAAGAGAGACCTAATGGGGTCTACTGTCACTTTAAAGAACAGGGTGGGTTTTCACATTGTTGAAATCTGTCAGATATTTTGAAATGTCCCTCTCACTATGGTGCCACACCCCCTGCGTGTCCTTATAATAAAATTGGTTTTACTCCTGATTAAATCATTTTCTCCCTACCCACTACCATACTTCTCATAATGGACCTGTGTGCTCTACAGCTGGTGTTCTTCCCATGGTACCAATTCTTACTTTATCTTTTAAGCACTTTGCTGCTAAGATCTCATGCAGAGTGCTTATGTTTTGTTAAGAGCTTCATTCTTAGAGAAATAGCTTAACACATGTTCTAAAAATGTTGTACAACTTATTGCTTAAAACACATTTAGAAAATGTATAAGTACTGTAGCTCTGGCACAGAAGTTTAAGTAGAAACCTTAAAAAAAAAAAGCCTTTGTTTTTACCATGCATTTGTCTTAAATGTCTAATGTGAAATACTTGGCTTCTAAGGTTTTACATAAACTTATTTTCCCAGATTTTTGCACCATTTCCAGCTCTTCAAGGAAACGTGTTAGGAATGTATCTTCTTGAAATCAAAGGGTGTCACTTTACCCTCTAGCAATAAGATATTTTTTTAAAATTTTGCTAGAAGGGACAAATGTCAAATAAAAATATCACAAAAAAAGTAAAAAGAAAATATCAGTCCATTTACTGTAACATTCAATTGTGTTCCCACTGGTTGGAGTTACACACATACTAAGGCGATGGGGAAATATTAAGACCTAGAAGCTACATGCAATTGAAATACATTTCAATTTGAACAAAGGGCCTCATTCTGTGGACCTTACTCAGCCCCAAATCCCAGTGGAGTCAGTGTTTTACCTAAGTAAAAGATTTGGATTCAGAGTATATAAATATGGCTACTGATTTCCTTGGGAGTGGAGGCTGCTAAACACCTCAAAGAAGCAGGTCCTAAAATTGCTGCTTTTATAAAAACATTTGATTTTTCCCTACTAGTTGCCAGATGATATCATTTATTTCAAATAAGGACATAAGCACATCTAGGGAGTCTCTCAAAATATTGCGCTAATAGAATAGTAAGAATGAGAAGTGAAAAAAGAAAGTTAGAGGGTTCTCATTAAGGCTCTTTGGAAATAAATATGTTACATTTGTTTTACATTTGTGAAGGGAGTGTGTACTTTAACCATTTTGTTATTATTTTTAAATAAACTTTTCTAGTAGTATATCATTTTAAAACGTACTTGCATTTAGTTCCTGTGCAAACAAATATGTGTTCATGTATGGCTGATATACACCATAAGGGTCCCCACTTCCAAAAGGAAAAAATCCACATAAAGATCAATTAAAAAATTAAAATAACCAGGAGAGACCTAAGTTTTAAAGAGGATCAGATTCCAGTTTAGAGGATATTCCATCTTGCAAACAGACTTGTCGCTGGAAAAGAGTAGTGTTCCTTTGCACCCTCTTTTTAAGTATTCTTTATTTTACAAGGCATCCTTTTTTAGGCCATTCTACTGGGCATATCTTGCTTTCATGGCATATTTCCACTAAAGCCAATAGGGCCACATTAGGCAGTAGTTCATTCTGCAAACAGTGCCATTCATTTCACTGGGATCATTTGCAGAGTAAAGTACTGTCCAAAGCGAATACAAATATCAGAATCTGTCCCACAGTGTGTTTGTTATTCATGAGATTCTTATGGAACTGAATCCACCTATCTGATGAAATAGTTCCATGCCCCCTGCTAATTGGTTACCTGTTATGTGTTAAAGCAGAAGGGAAAGGAATACAGATCACAAGTTCAGGACAGGAGATCTGGAATTGTTTGTGTTGCCCACACTGGAATAGGCTGAGGAAAGAGAGAAGGCAGAAAAGTAGAAGACAAAAGGACCAGGGCTACATCTACATTACAGCTGAGATCAAAAGAGTGGAGATCAATGCACTGGGGAATGATTAACCAAATTGACTGCAGATCACTCTCCAATTGAACTTATGTTCTACCCCCGGATGAGAAGGGTAAGGTAAGTTGATGGGAAGGTGTCTCTAGTAGAACTCTGCTGTAATAACATAGCTGGAGTTTCATATCTTAAGTCAACTTGCTGCATTAGTGTAGACCTATCCTCAGAAAAAAACATGGAGAAGGATAGAGGATAATAAAACAGTGGTTAAAAGGGGAAAGGAACATGTTAGGGAGAAATAAAGAGAGAAGGAATGAGAATCAAGGACAAACACATAGGAGGGAGAAAGGGGAGGAAAAGAGATAGAATGGAAGTAAAATAATGTGTCTCAGTTTGGGTTAGCTCCATTTCTCATTGTCCACTGGGGTAAAAGTTCTATACAGCTACAATAGAATACCAAGGAAGTGTAGTGGATACAGATAGAGGTTCCTTAGGAGCTGGAAAATCTTATTTCAGACCATTTGCAAAATAGCATCTCTTTTTATTAGACTGTTTGGAGGAATTTGTTTATTTTTGTGGGAATTAAATTGTAGAACAAGAAAACCATCACTCACGATACCTTACCATTTATCTTACTAGCTTGGGGGAAATATGAAACTTTCAGAAAACTGGGCACTTGGATGAAAGGAAATGCTCTAGTTTAACATAGGGCTACCTGGGCTATTATGACGGGGCATCTGCCTCCGCATTGGCTCTTTACAGCTAAAACCCAGCCCTGGGAGAGAGCCAAGAACAAAGCCCACAGCTGAGGCTGATATTGCCCATCAAGGCCCAGTTGGGGCTGTATAAATAAGGGCTTTAGGAGGGAGGTTTGGACCCACACACTTTTGCTCTGGCTGGGGAGCTGAAGACTTCCTAAGATAGAGCAGAGCTGGGAAAAGGCAGGCAGAGCTGGGGAGTTCTGTCCTGACCTCACGTTGCAGGACCTGGTGTACTAAGGCTGTAGGGCCACAGCCAGAGAGAGGAAAAAGCAGCAGGTCCACATCCCCTTGCCAATGATGAGTGGCCATTTCAAATGGCAGTTTACCCCTGAGGTAAGGGGCTAGATACAATTGGCAGTAGGTCACTGAGGCAACATGGGTACTGGGAAATAGGGGGATTCCCTGGGAAGAGAGTATCCCAGAGTGTAAAGATGTGAGACGGTTGATATGCCCTCTCCCTCGAAGGGGAACTCAGAGACAACTGTAAAGGAGATTGTCAGAGGGCAATATCCTGAAGGGGACACTGTGTTCTGGGAGCTATATGAATCCAGAACTGGAACATGGAGTGAGGACACAGGGAGACACCAGCCAGAAGGAGGTGTCCTGAGAGCTTGCAAGAGCTAATTCCCAGTG